GTGGTCCAAGAACATCAAGATTACTACCTGCCTGTCCTGGAGATAGATGATTACACCAATTTGCCTGGTGCCCCGCAGTCATTGTTATCTAGCCTCCCAAAGGTGCCACAAAGCACGTCATTGGCTTTGCTTGAAGGCATGAAGGCAGAACCCAAGAACTTGATCGCTTTTGTTTTGGACTTCAACTTTCCAGGTGTCACTTGGCATAAGTTGATTCTTTTTGTGATGGGATTGTTGGTGCACCTCAAAGTGGCTTTCAGGTTGTGTTCATGTGGCTCCAGGCTCGCAATTCGCTTCTGCAGCCAAAGCTGGTTTCTGGTCTGGCAAATGCCTGCAGGACTCAAGGCTTGGCCCTATACTAAGTTTGTTGTCTGAAGGATTTTGCTGCAAGCTTCTGCTAACAGTGTGATTCTGTAAGATTCTAGCAATAGTGTGATTGAATGCCATTGCTTTGCAGGCACCAGGAACACCATCATCTTGGCAGTGATGGCCAACCGTCCCAAAGAGGACTCCGAGACAGATCCTCTTGAGGATGAAATTGAGTTCTGTCGTGCTATGCGTGCTGCAGGTTTCCTGGTCCAGATCCCCTGGCAAATGCCTCTTACACAGCCTGGTGAGGAGTTGCTTGACTTGCGAAATGTTCATGTGTTGCAGGATGTGTTGTTCCAAATGCGCTGTTCCAGATGTGTGTGTGTCATTGGGTCAGTCAGTGAGTCCGAGGTCCTCCCATTGTTCGCAATGGGACTTCCATGCCCGTGGCCGATTGATGTGCTGGTGTGAGAATGTCAAAGAGGTGGACAACCATTTTCTGCAGGCATCTGAACTAACAAGAACAGGTAAGGTGCCGGAGGCAACCTTGAACACAGAGATCGTTGCAATACAGTCAGTAGAGGAGACGGAAAAATTCGGCCAAATGAGGGTGAATGCAGCTACAAGAAGTGCGCAGAAAGGAGGTGAAGTGTGGAACGTTCTGTTCAAAAGCCTTTTCACAAATTCGAAGCTGCTATCACAACATGCTCGACCTTTGCTGTCTCCTGGCGATCAATGTATCCTCATTGACATGCACGTGCATTCAGGCGACCACGCGTTGGGTGCCTGCATGATGATGGACAACATGGTGCAAGGGGTGACTTGCCGCCACGTCATGGTGAAGATGAAAGACAAGAAAAGTATTGCAGCAGTCCAGTGGACATCGAAGAGACTGGGTTCTTTCCTGTGTGGTAAGTGGCTCCGACATGAATGCAAGCTCATGTCGAAAGATGGCTCCATTATTCCACCATTGGAGACTGAGGTCACAGTTACTTGGATGTTGTAATTCAACCTTTCACACTGTTTCACACAGAAAGGGCTGTCCATTTAGTCGTTTCTTTTGGCATAATATATCTTCAACTGACACCATCATCTTCAACTGACATCTGTTTCAACTGGCAGTTGTTTTAATTTCAAGCGCTATCACTTGCAGTTGCCTGAGGTTCTTGATGAAACTGACAAAAGCTACCTGCGGACTGCTGGGGCATGGGAGGCGTATGAGGGGGCCCGCAGTTGGGAATCGAAGCTCAAAGCCTGTTCCATCTCTGGTGCCCAAGTCAAGATCATGCCATCTATCCTTGCAGAATTTGCGACTGCTCCACCGAGTGTGAAAGATCTCCTCGCACAGACTGAGAAGAAGCACAATGATCAGTATGCAGCAATCCTTCAAGGACGCCTACTTGAACAGTCATCATCAAATGCCCCAACCTCTGATCCAAGGCCTGCGCCAACACATGAGGACACAGGAGCAACTCAAGCCATTGAACTCCCTGGGCCAGAGAATGAGACCGTGCTGCGGGGGCAAATCAAAGTTGCAGCGGATGTCAAGACCTTTGACACGAGGAGCTTGAACCTGATTGTGGATGAGAAGGGCCATGCATGGTTGCTTTTGGGGGCCAAGGTACAAGGGCAGATCATCAAGAAAGGAACAAAGTTGGCTGGGCTTGGGGCAGGAAAAGTCATGAAGCTCGATGACAGCAATTCTGCAACAGCAGTGCACGTCACTTTCCCACAGCAGGACAAAACACTTGTCGAGGCAGTGTTGTCAGGTGATGGGAACGAAGACAATGACGCCAAAGTCAAGAAGGGCAGCTTCTATGTTGTTGCCAAGGAAGCGCTCAAGGCGCAGCCAGCTGAGAAGCTTTTTGTAACTGGCCATGACATCACAATCCGACCAGTGGGTACAGAGGGCCAGTCGCACGGGTTTGACATCAAGCATTCAGAGAATTGGGGCTTTGTGATGAAGGACAAGGAGGTCACATCGTATGTACCAGGCAACGCTGCAAGGCTGATTGTCCAGCGCAAGGTGCAGCTTCACTCTTCCGTTGGGTGGGTGTGGCGCTACGTGTTCGACAAGCTGCATTTGAAGCTCACAGCCAAAAAACCGTTTTTGGTCATGGTCGAAGATGTGAAGATGACGCCAGGAAAGCCGGTCAAGATCACACAGTCAACTTAGTTGTGATGCCAGCCTGTAGATGCCAGTTCCCTGTTGCCAGTTGTTTTTGATTTGGGCCAGTCGCTACCATTCTTGGCTGGCCTTGACTTGTTGCCTGTATCATAGCCTGGGGCCTGGCTGATGTTGACATGTTGAATTGTTTTCCTACAGCTCTTCAAGCTTGCTTGTAATTCTGTCAGTGCCAGTGCATTCCAGGCTGTGCAGCGTTTTTGACTTGGCTACAGGTGCATCGTTTGACTGGGCTGCTACTGTCAGAGAAGAAAATTGAAGAAAGTCAGCGGGTGGTGTTTGCTTGAATTCTGCAAGTTTTCGTGTTTGAGATTTGCCAACCCCCCACTGCAGTTTCTTTCAGCTTCCCCTGACCAATGGCCAAACAGTTTCATTGAGTTCTGAAAGTGTTCATGTCTGAGGCCAAGTCATCACAACTGGTCTTTCATAGCCAGGCGCGGATTGACAACTGACAAGCCAACTGACAACTGTCAATGAGGAATGGGTGATAAGATGTGATAAGTTCACAGTCTTCCAACTGACATGTCTGAAAGTCTTTTTCCTCACCTGACCGATAGAATTCAGCTCTTTATTTGCCGGTGCCAAGTAGACAACTGACAACTGACAGCTTATCAACAGAGAACTCGTGCTAGGGCCTAAATACTAAATATCGCTGATAACCAAGTTGCAACCATGTTCTGAGAGCTAGTGGGTTTGTGGCCTAGTGCGCTAGTGAGCAGTTACTGCGTGGTTTGAAAGCTTGTAAGGCCCTAGGGAGGGGTGGTGTAGGGTGGCCTACATGCCCATGATGATCGTTCAAAGACACAGCAACACAGCCATGATGACATTCCAATGGCTGATGATGGCTCATCAACAGAAACAGAAGATGCTGGTCACTACTGTGCTTCAGCTCCAAGGAAAAGGAAGAAACCGGGCTGTAAGACTGACAGCTCAAAGGTAAAGCAGAAGACCACAGGTGAGGATGCCAGATGGCCCAGTTTCTTGGTGAAGTTTGAAGGCAAGATCGCCAGTTGCAGGAGGTCTGGAAGTGGATGCTGTTTTTGCCGTCATCAGTGTTTGGTAAGAGCTGAGCCGCTTTTGGATGAAATCAAATCCTGGAGAGAAAATTTGTTGTCAGTTGCGCCTGAAGTTGCTGACCGTGAACTTTTGTGGATCTTCCAATCATCTCAAACAGCAGCTGCTGAACGTCAAGCAAAGCAAGTCAAGCAGAACAGGACTGCACAGGTTCTTGCTTATGAAGAAGAAGGCTCAACTACTGAGACAGAAAATGATGAAGAAACACAAGATAAGAAGCCAGTGGCAGCTTCTACCAACACATCATCTCCAAGTGCTGAGAGTGATGGAGAGAGTTCCGATGTCCTTGACATGTCTGAGCCTGCTGCTTCTTCGAGCAAACCAATGCCGCTGTCAAGAAATCATTATGCCCAAAGGTTTGGAGCAAAACAGCCAACTGTCAAGTTGAACACATTTGTGAAAGGTGCTGACAAATCAAATCAACTGTGATCTGTCAGCAAGCTGCTGTTTGGCTTCTTGGTGTTGGCAAACCACGGATTCAGCGGGCAGCCTGATCTAAATTAGATACCAAGCAAGTGTTGTTCTTTCGAATCTTGTTTTGTTTTACTTGATGCTTTGCTTTCTAGCACATGCTGTTTTGAAACCTGTCTCTGAGGTTTTGCGCGGCCTGCCAGATCCCGCAAGAGGCAAATCAGAGTGGCCAAGCAGGACACTGCAGCCTTTGATCTATGCACCAGATTTTTGCAGCTTCGATATCACAATGAAGGTGAACACCTGCCTGACAAGTTTGTTTTTCAAGGTGCTTTGAAAGACAGGTCTTTGATGATTGGGTCAACTGCTGATCGTCTGCAAAAGCTGGTGGCAGGAGACAGTGATGAGTCGTCAGATGACAGTCACTTATCGAAAGATGAACTGGATGAGATAGATGACAGAGCTTTGAGTGTAATGGCAATCCAGTCCCTGGTCATGAGTGCGCCTTTTCACCAAAGTTTGACTGGGCCTGGCGTAGCTCCAGGCCCCCGCCGTTGGCTTGGAGTGATGAAGCCAATCAACATGTTTGAGATGCTTAGGCTTTGGTGTGCACAGGCCAACTTCCAAGCACCAAGTTTTACTACATTCTTGCGAGCCCTGAAAGCAGCACGGCCGTGGCTGTCATTCCGCAAAAGTGCGGGGCAGCATGGGCTTTGCGATTCGTGTTTGCATTACAAGAGGGAACTCAAGAAACAACTCCACCTGGCAGTCCGCCAACAGCTGCTGGAAGAGTACTCATCTCATTTATTGTTGAATTGGAGAGACCGGGCTGCTGATGGTGCATGGCATGGTCAATGTGTCCAAACCCGTTGCAGGCAGATCAAGTTTACAGTTGATGGAGCAATCAGTACTGCTACTGAGATCTGACGGCCTTGACCAGGCCAAACATAAGGTCCCAAGAACATGGGGATTCCAATTCGCGATTTCAGACCCGGATGTCAGAAAAGACAGTTGTACCCACATGGAGGTGGTTGCCAGATGCCTGTCGAAGATTGTGGATGCCAGTGGCGCGTTGCCTCGTCAGTTGTATGTTGTGCTTGACAACACAAGCAAAGACAACAAGAATGGAAAGATGCTTTGCTTCTGGATCAAGTTGTGTTTGATGAGAGTTTTTGAATCAATATACGTTGCCTTCCCCATCAAGGGGCACACCCACGGGCCTCTTGACGGGGTGGGCGGGCACGCAGTCACTCGTTGCTCCACCCAGACTTTTGACTCGGCTGCTGAGCTGATCTCTGTCTATCAGACATTTTTGGACCGAGCTGAATTCGAACAAGGTACAGTATTCAAGGAAGCATACAAACTGGATACCTCGGCAGATTGGTTGGGTTGGCTTGGCGACATCAATCTCACGTTCAAAGGACTGACCGGCCCAAAAGCTCCACACGGGTTTCGAATCTTGTGGAGAAAGGCACTGACAGCGGCGGAGAACACAATGTCCCACAAGTCGCTCAACGCATTGAAGAGCAATGATCCAAATGACTTGATGCTAGCAGTTCACCAGCACATGTCAGATGCCAGACCTTATCAGGTGGTGATGTTGATGCCAGTTGCACAGGTACAAAGGGTAATGCGCAGCTTGACTATTCAGCCCAGTGGCCAGCACAGCCGAAAATCAATCAGCTGGGGGGATCGCAAGCAAGTACGGACGCAGGCTATCACTGGGTGCGAGAAAGGCGCAATCTCTGAAGTCGCTCGTGACTTTCTAGTTGGGTGGATTGAGGGGGCCCTCAGACGAGAGCCTCGGCCAACTGAGTACTCATGCCTGAAGCACCGGTTTGACGCAATGTCAACTGTTGGGGATATGCCACGAAATCCACACCATCATGCGTGCCCTCGCCCAATCACTGTTATGCACACCGCAAATGGTGAAGATCTTGAAGTGCCTCTGCCTTGATTGGTTTCATGTTTGTTGTATGTTTCTTCAGTTTGTGTTTTGAGGCTATATCATGTTTGCAAGTTAATGTTCATAAAGCATGTTTTCAAGCTATAAGGTTTTCAAGTTCGTTATATCATGTGTCAAGTCAGAATGTTTCCTGTGTGCCAGGTGCCAAATGAAGACGAGGATGAAAACCAAGAGCTTCAGGATGATGATGTTTGTGTCATCGCAGATGAAAGACAGGAGAACTTGCGTGGGTAGAAAAAAATAGTTTGTGCCTAATAGTTTCTGAACAGTCAGTGAGAGTTCTACGCTGGGTTTTGCATTTTTTGTTGAGACTGATGAAACATGTGAATCTTTGTTACTTTTGAGACACGCATGCATTCTCAACGCGGCCCAAACCTGGACAGCTGTTGGCGGTTTCTTTCGCTCAGTAGTCGTGACAGTCAGTTGGCTGTGTCCCATGGTTTGCTCAACTCAAAGTCCTTTACCACCTGGACGCGTTGAAGTTGGTGTTGAAGTTGAATATCCGTTGCCAGTTGGACCTGTTCTGGTGAATTCCTGGTCTCCGAAACCACTGGAGTTGAAGTTGTCAAACTACTTGGTGCTTGAGCAACCACTACCTCCATTGAATAGCGCTTCAACAATGTTGAAGCGATGGAGGATCCGCCAGACTTTGATTGACCAGGGGTTGCAACATGATGTCACAGAAGAAATTTTGGCCCTTTGCCCAATTCCGATCTTGCATGAACGCAAAAGAAGCTGGGGAAAGAGGGTTGCTATTTTTCGTGAAGAATTGCGGAAGAACCTTTGAAACCCATTTAGTTTGTGCTTGCAAGAAGCGCAGACTTTTTGTCTAGTATTTATTAGTGGTTGCTGTCACTCCAACCATTATAGCAACTGCCGGGAATCACTTGGCATTGGATTAAAAGCAGCGATGGTGTTCTGTTTTTTGGTTTCAACTCAGGTCATGTGTTTAATGTGTGATGTCTCCTGCACTGTGTGGAGAACTGCCAAAGTCTGTGGTAAATGTTGAGCGCAACTTGTGTTTGCATAATGCCATTGTTTGTTTGCGAAGGCTGTTAGGCTGTTGCCCATGCCTCATTCATTGAGGCCAGTATTTGCTTGCATTTTTGACTGGCTAAAGACTGGTCATGTGCATGTGATGTTTTTGTTGTTTTTTGCAGTTGCACATGTCCAATGCCGGTGTCAGTTTACATGTTGTTTTGTGTCAACTGCGTCTGTCTGGCCAGGTTTGAACATCATCAACTAGAATGCAAGTGAGTGGCAATGGATGGATGGTTGTTTGTCTTTCAGTGTAAACTTCAACTGACAACCTCAACTGACAACTGACAACTTCAACTGACAATAGCAGAACACACAATGTAGAATTCCAAATCACAGAACTTGGTAACGATACCAGGGAGATGGAGAACTATGAAGAATATAATGACAGATGTCAAGTGATAACACATAGTACTATTAAACACCTTCAGAAAAACAAGTTGAAAGACAGGCTTTACTCGAGAACATTGACAGTTGAAATTAGGTTTGTGTGTTTCAAGATGCCTTGTTCAACAAAATGTGTCAAGCGCACCCAAGATATGCCATGTCATACCATGGTCGTGTTCTGTGAGAACATACTTTTTTAATTATGTGACACAAAGTGTTTTTCAGAAAAGAAACAAAAACATGTATACATTATATATGTTACACATTCATATTAAATCAAAGAAAAGTCAGACTGATCGGACCCTAATGAGTAACACTGAGTAAACCAGTATGATGTTTCACTGTTTCATAATTAATTTACTTCGAGTGGTCCCCACCATAGGTGATTTGTTGTGGGAATTGACAATGTTCTGACACTGACTTGTTCTGGCATCAAATCTGGTTTGTGCTCTGACACATCATCTTTCATAAGGCTGTGAAACGTTCTGGGCCATGTTCTGACATCTTTGTTGGCATGTGTCTGACAATTTCTACGGTCTGATGTCCTTCTGGCACCACACATACAAAGACCCAAATGCTATGAAAGTTTTGAATACCATGGCGATGGCTTGATCTTGGCTACTGCTTGCAACGCCAGAGGCCCCCTCCGGCTTTCGACCATCTCAACGAAGGTCAACTGGCGAATCTTGACGCCCTCTTCATGCTCGATGCGCTCCGTCCAGGAGTCCGGCATCATCCCCATCAGCTGGCCGCTCTTCTCTGGCGTCTTCCCCAGCCCCATCCGCTGGCTCATCAACCGGCAACAACTCACCCTCCGCCTCCTGCCGCTCGCCCTCGTCCGCGGGCTTGAGCAAAGCATCACCTTCTGGGGTGATCGGCAGAGTGTAGACACCCACAACCATGTAGCGGGCTTTTCCACCGTAGTTTCCACCTTGATCCCTCCCAACCTCAAAAGGTCCACCGAGGTCAAAGCTCAAGGTGTAGGCATGCGGGTGCGTCACCCGCTTGTGCATCCGCTGCCTGTTCCTTTCGGAATGGCTGGTGGTCATTCTTGAAATGAGCTTCCCACTGGTCCCTGGTGAGGGCAGCCAGGAGTGCTTTCTTCGGACCTGGCGCCCATTCCGCCCACTTTTTTGAGTCTTTCAGCCGCTGCTCCAAGGTGGTGCCAAGACCGTAGGATCGCCCAGGGCCCTCACCTCCTCCAGCTGCTTCAAAGCCACCAGATTTGTATCCACACTGGTGGACCTGTGCTGACCAGCATCATCTCGAAAGCTTTGGCAAAGGCCTTCCACTCCGGGAACGTCCAGAAGCTTGGACACTTCTTCTCATCCTCCTCCTCAGGAGCGTAGGACTCAGGGTCTTGTGGACTTTCCACTACATATCCCACAGCCCACAGCTGGGTCCTTTTTTGGCCTTTCGATCGCACTCTCCTCGGCGACCACGTAGTAGGTCAAAGACCTCAGGAACAGCACCGTGTCATCCGCCAACTGGTCCGACCGGTTATCTCACTTCCAAACCTTGTGGCACCAAAGCGCGTCCTCAATGGCGGTGGTCCTGGCTGTGTGTGCCTGAGTCTTGAGACCGTTCTGCATGGCGGACCCGCCAAAATTCCTTACTTTTCCGGAGAGGCAGAGGTGCAGGATGCAGGCAGCCACGTGTTTGGCCAGTAGATTCTGCCCCCTATGCAACTCCATGTCCACACATAGGACTCTTCGATCTTTGGTCTCCAGTTCCTTCCAGGTCCTCTCATCCGGACCACTGAACAAGTGGAGAATGATCTCATCGGCCTTTTTCAGCCGCCTTCTGACATGCCGATTCCACGGCAGCAACTCCGGATCAAACTGATCATCCGGCAGCACTCGCCCCAGCAGCTCAGCCGGCACCTCCGGGAAGAGCTTTCGAAGCCTTTGCAACCACTCCACATAGCTGCTATCCCAGGGCCTTCACCACCCCGCAGCACGGCCAACCTGGCCTTTTGCAGCATCACCTGCTTCTCAATCTCCTTGATGAGCTGCAACCCCAGCTCTTCCGACACCGTTGGACAGCTGTTCTCCAGGTCGGTGTCCATGATCCTTCCCTTCGAATCCTGAAGTTCGAAGCTCCTTGACTCCCACTTGCTGGCGTAGCCTAACTCCGCCAAGACACCAAGCGGCACAATCGGCTGCACAGGCTGCTGGGTCACAAGGGTCTTCGTCCAAGGAATCTGCCTGAGCATGGCAGTCCCGGAAGCAAGGGCCACTTCGACCTCAATGCCTGATTTCCATTCAGCCTCGTCGGCTGCTTGTCTCAAGCAGTGAGTCGCCCCACCGTCAAGAAGAGCTCGACGATCTCGTACTCCAAGGGCTGAGATCTTGACATCCTCACCCTTCATTTTGCAGGTCGAGGCCTTGACATCCTCACCCTTCCCTTCACAGGTCGAGGCCTTGACATCCTCACCCTTCTTTTCTTTCACCTCAAAAGAGGAGATCTTCACATCATCATCCTTCTCCTCCAGCTGCAAAGCCTTAATTGCCGGCAGCTGCAAGGTCTTCAACAGGCCCATAGCCTCAGACAAGATCCCACCGACCTCGCCCTTTTCACCCGGCTTTCCAGAGTCCTTAGCACCCTCCGCCGGCTTCTCTTCCACAACTGGCCCATCCGCTGACTTGGACTTGGTGGCGGACCGCACCTCAGGCTTACCATCCAACTTCAGCGGACCCCCATCTTTCTCCACTGACTGCACCTTGCAATCCTTCTTCATGTGCTTGGAAGATCCACAGTTCCAGCACCTTCCCTTTCTCCCCTCCAGGTCGTGGACGAAGTGGCGTGAAGCTCCACGCCAACAGCCATCCTCGGACTGGAAGTAGCGGCAAATCCCCTTAGAGGATGCCTGGCCTTTTCCATCATCAGTGGTCTCCCTTTTCCGAGTCCACTCCTTCTTCGCAGCTCCAGGTCCATCACCACGGCCGTTGACCACTCCATTGGCGCCCCCAGCTACACCGCCAGAGCCCACACCAGGAGCTAAAGCCTTGATCCTTGGACCACCATTTTTCTCCACTCCACTGTGGAATGCCGTCTCACCCTCCGCAAGGAGCGCCTCCGCGAAGCCGATCACTCCCTCCAGCGTTGGATTGACATCCACCATCAAGTTGGCTCGAATCGCACTGAGCCGAAGGGCGATTGAGTGGCAACTTTTCCAAGAGGCTGGGACAGCTTGTCCAAAGCCCCCATCAGCAGAGTCGCATCAGGGACGTTCACCCTGAGCTCTTGAGCTCTGCGAAGCCATCGGCGCCACATCTGCAGCTGCGTGACCATCTCACCAACCGATGTAGGCACCCGCACTTCAACCAACTGCTTCAACAGGTGTGCCCGTTCACCCAGCCCACCAGGCTGGTAGCGCACCAAGACCTTGAAGATCACCTGCACCGAGCTTGTAGCCCTCGTAGTGAGGATTTCCATCTTCAAGCTTTCAGGCAAAGCCTCCATCAACATAGCTTGTGCCCTTTGTTCCAGCCTCAACCAAGGCTGCTGCTGACATGCCACCAGCAACCGTGGCATCAGGTTCAGCTTTGTCATTGGGTCCGACCTCAACCAGCAATCATAGCACCCGACCGCCTCAGTCAAAACCACTTCCCACCAGGCGCTTGAAGTCGCCGACAAATCCTTCATCAAAGGAGTGATCAAGGTGATCCAATCCCCTGCAGCCAACGGGCCAATCTCGCCCTCTTTCAGGTCCGGCGCCGGCAAGGTGACAGCTGTACCGGCCCCTCCAGAGACTGTCCCCCACAAGCTCTCCACACTGCACTGATTGCCCCCAGCATCGCCGCTGCACCGCCCACTTGACCAGGCCCATTCCATACACCGCTCAGCTGTCCTGAGCCATTCATACTCCGACCAATCCTTCAAGGCTGACACCAGTTGAAATCGGCGTCGACCCGAAGCCAAGCCCGCTGCAGAGGCTCGCACCATAGGTCAGCCCGACACACACTGTGTCCTCCTTCTTCTTTTCATTAGCTTCCTGACCTTGGCGTAAGGCGAACACCTCCTTTTGCAGCTCCGAATTTTGCTGCAGCACCAAGGCCACCACCCTTCCCGTTTGAAAACCTTCACGATGTCGGGCTCCATGGACCTCTTGCTCCAGATCCACTGCCGGCATCGTCCGAGATCCGCCCATCCTCATCAGGTGCTGCCCCTGAGTTTCTCGAGGTCTCGCGCTCTCCAAGCGTCGTCCCCGGCATCCATCCGGCGGCAACGACACTGGCCTCATGCTCCTGAGCCGGGCTTCCTCTTTGATCTTGTCCGACCAAAAAGGATTGATCTCCACGCCTCTCATCAGGCTTTTCCGCCCTGAGCTCACAGTCTCCATCGAGCTGTGAGACATCGAAGTGCGCACCTTCAGCTATGGCTTGGGCTCATAACCCACGTGTGCTAAAAAGCACAGCTGCAAAGGCCTGAATCGCCTTTTTCCTTTGAGCGCAAACCAAAGGGCTACGGTCATGCCCAAGTGAGAAAATCTTCCAGCATGCTATGACCACATGCTTACATGATTCCAAGCGCAAAGTATACTTATGTTCAAGGGCTTTACCAAATTAACTCGGAGCTAAACAAAAAAACACGTGTTGACAAACCATGGGGCAAGTATCCACACAATTACCGAGCTGAAAATCCAAAGTGACTTGCCCAAATCTCAAATACCACCCCGCCTTTCTGCGCTGCCTTGTCCACTCCATCGATACCTACCGCAGCCGGCCATCAAGGAGCCTTGAAATGGCCACTCTGGGCAAAGGTAGCACATGGCAGCTGCGGAGTGCTTTGCAGCAAAAGCTCAAAAAGGAATGACACAAATTCCAATAATACTTCCAAGTGGTTCCAATCCACAGCCCTCAGGTCACAGGACCGAATGCCTTTGGTCAAATCGTACAACAGCACGATGAATGGTATGAAATGAGCACTTTTTGATCGGTACATTGGCTCGCCAATGCCATGAAAGGACCTCGAAAACTTGTCAAAACTCTGCATACAGATGAATCAACATAGTTGCAACAAATCAACCAAACTGCGCGCACATAGTGAATAGACCTGCAAAGTCCAGTCCCAGTCATCGCCTGGCGCAACTGTCGTCTTCTCCGAGCTTCCGGGCCGCACTTGAAGCTTTCAGAACTTCTCCTTGAGCAAAGTTCACGGCTCCTTCCGATCCTTCCTTGCAAGTCGCCATTGCTCAAATGAGCTGGTCTATGTACATTGGCATATTGAACCGCAATGATGCGGATCGTCCAAACTTCTTTAGTTGCGATTCTGAAATTGGCAGCTGCGGAGTTCAATGGTTCGGCTCCAGAACGTCCCAGCATCGTCCAGCCTCGCTTCCATTTGGCGCAGCTTTAAACGAAGCTGTTCCAAGGACACCCTGTCTTGCCTGTCAGGAATCAAGTTTGGACAATCACCTCTCTTTGATCAAAAAAAATAAGCAAACTAGCAGGGTGTACTTCATCAGTAGCTCACACTATCACTAGCCATTGATTAGCTCTAAAATATCGATACATTTCAGCCCCAGCTTCTTAACTGCCGTCCCAGAAGCTGCCTGGCTGCACGCTCCAGTCTCTCCTGCTCCTTCTGCACCTTCTCTTGGCGTCTTTGTGCCTCTTCCACCTTGCCGCTTTATGGAACGCCCCGCTCGGATCGTTCCGTCAAAGGTGACCAACGTACGCTAAAGGATTGACATTAGTAGCAAGGACGCTATTAGGTGGAGGCCATCGCAAGCAGGTTGGAGGCCACCGCTACTAGTAACAAGAAGCTACAACAAGAAGCTGCTAGTAGCTACTAGTAACAAGATGTAACAAGTAGGGTTTTGCTCGACTCTTTGCCCATTTTCTCTCTGCCTCCTCCCGAAGGCGCTCAATCTCTGCCTCACCTGCAGCACTGCAAATGGAACAACCTTCGAGATTGCAATTCGAAGGCGGCAAGCTGCAACGAAAAAACATCTTCAAGGCGGCAAGCTGCAAGTTTGCCTGACGAAGCACACACAGTACAATCTGGATCATCATAGGGCCTTCTTACTAACTTACGTGCTTCACTTGAAGGGCCCTTCGCTTGGATCTCAAAAGGGTTCCGCCCAGATTGCAATGCCTTGATCCACGAGCAGCTGATGCTCTGCCACCAGCTTCTCCCAGTTACGCCTTTTCTGGTCAGCCGCAGTGCGGTGGGCTTCCTGCACTGAAAGAGATGGAGCAAACCGCCAATCAGCTGTGCAGTTGTGCAGCATCAGTCTGTCAAAAGTTAGTCCCTATTGCATCATGGTAGCGAACTAATTGCCTTCAGGCTCCTGCCAATGCCATTTAGACTTGACTTCTGCTTCAGTTGCTTGATCACAGCTGCACAGGCCACTGCCTTCTTGGCCTGTGCTTCACAGAGTTGGTGGCGAAACTCCTCGCAGCGCCCCAGCATCTCCTAAGATGTGCTCGTTCACTTGTTGGTTACAAACTCATGACACAAATATACTATACTTGATTGGTGTTTGATTCAACTATGCTAGCTTCTATGCAAAACCGACTTGCTTTAGGAAACTTTAGCGCATGCATGCCTGGTTCTTGCAATAACTGGTCCTTTCCACCTGTACTTAACAACTGTAAGTAATCTGCATACTGCTGGACGGTACCTGGAGCTCGCCCCGCTAAAGAAAAGAACCAAACTCCCTACGACACGAATTTGCGCTCCCGCTGCGCCCCTCCCAGCCCTTCCACTACGTGGGGTACTCGAGGGTGTCTATATACGAGAGAACCGGTATGCACCACACATGCATTCACAACACAAGTTCAAAGAACATCGGTTTCAGCCACGGTCAACTCAAGTGAATTAGCCTAGAGAGCACAGGCATAAGCAAGTTCTGCCAAGTTAGATTTTTTGCATTTTGTGAAACTCGTTGGTGCACGTTATGTCGCACGAGAAATGGGATATCATGATATCATGACCAAAATCATCTCGGATGTGTGCACACTCTCTGTTTTGGAGCAGTAGACGGCAAGCAAACATACAAACTCCCCAAACAGAAATTTGAGGGGCTGCATCAATCGCACCAAGCCCATCCAAGCCCTGCTGGTTGCAAGGCCCATTCTGACATGTTTGCAGGTTTAAAGAAAAGCCTCTCTTGCCTGGCACCAGCAGGCCATTCTTTGGAATCTCTGAGTCATTCATGAGTCTGCAACCACCTGCTGGATTCAACGGCTCAGCCACGTCGCCATGTAGCGACCACGGAGGCCCTGGAGTTGGGAACAAAGCTGCTCCAAGTGGGGTGCCTTGCAGCACAGCGAAGGGGCGCTGGTCGTTGGTAGAGTTGTTGAGACAGCCAAAACTGATTGTCACATATGTGCAACCCACGGGAGGGGTGAAGTGTCGACATACGCTTTGAGATCCAATAGATCCAGTGGGCTCGACAAATTTTGAAAGAGTCAGCCTCCACCTGGCCAGGTGATGCCACGCCCCCGTCCTGGCGAAGGTGTCGATTGGCAATGCACAAACGATCTTCTCATGAGGCCTCGCAAGGGTCCTAGTGACGGCAGAAGCAGCTACCAGAAACTGAGAACAGCAATCTCAAGCGTGCCAACACAAATGTGTCCATGTGCCTGGCCTAATTGAGTACGATTGCTGTTGCAAAACCCCACGGAGGAGAAGCCTGGGCAGGCTGGCCTCCAAGGATTCTGCAGTTCCCTGAAGAAGTTGCAGGATATCCTGGGGCACGCTGGACGGCACAAACTGTGGTGAAATCCTACCCAGATTGAGTGCTTGACATGGTGAGGAATTTAACTCCAGTACATGATGGGCCTACTGATGGGTATCCTGTTGCGCGCGCGCTTCTGCCAGCGTGGGTCTCCGCTGTCTGGGGGCTAGCGGTGCCTGCATTTGGATGCGCGAAAGCTGGCTGGCACAAAATGAGCATAATCAGCATAATCAAACGAAACAACGAACTCTACATACAGTAATGACAAAACACATTTCGAGAAATGGCGCGCACGCACACACTTGAGATATTGTGTACGGAACTGAATGCGGTGCCACACGCCGGCCTAGGGTTCCATTTCCTAAGAGTACCAGTAAGGAACCAGCGAAACCTGGGGGTCTTCAAACGGAGAGGTGGCCAAGAGAAAAAGGAAGGAACGGCGGTCGCGAGTCGAACAGGTTGACGGCGGCTCGTGCACATCTGCAGAAAGTGAAGCAAAGCTCTAACCAATACCGTGTCATGAGGTTCTTGGCTTAGCCTCTCGCCATACGGAAAGTGGAAAATTGCAGGTACACAAGAAGGCGTCCCTTCTCGCTTCACCAGTTGTGAGTCCGTCTTCGTTGGTCCAGGGACAACTCACAACTGCCTGGACCCCCTGCGATAAAACAAAAAAATAAATGAAAGCAAAAGCATCCCTACCTTTAGGACGGTTTCTACTTGTACTACTTTAGGTAACTTATACTACTTAAAACTACTTACAACCTACTTATGTTAACTTATTCTTACAATTAAAAAATAACTAGAAATAACTAACTTACAAGTAACTTATAACTACATATAAGTAGGTACAAGTATAATTAAGTAGAAATAAGTAGAACTACGTAGAAATGTTGAAAAAACAATGTTTTGGTGAAATCACAATGTTTTGATAAAAACTTTGGTTCGCAAGAAAAAGGTCACATGTCCAGAATGACAACCAGTGAACACACCGCTTCAACATGAGCCTTAAACTCCACATCAACCAGCGGACGCACCGCTCCAACATTGTTTCAAAATCAACATATCTCAACATGAAGCAGCGGACGCACCGCTTCAAGCAAAACAACCATAAGTGCATCCTTTTATAGGAACCAGCGTGTGGCCATCTCGTCACTTCCCACTGATGCTTTCCAGTAGGGTTTTACAAATATCGTGAACTTCATCCACCAGCTCAGGATCAGCAAAGCGCAGAGATGGAAGAGTCTCCAATGTAGTTTCCAAGCCCAAAGTCATCATCTCACGCGAACGACACGGCAGCAACTTGCGAAAATCCCGTAGAGGTGCAGGAGGTTCCTTTGTTGCGCCGATGCCGTACATGTTGATATCATCTCCTGACAGGCCGGTCAGCTTGACCTGAAACTTGGTGATCTGGACCCAGAAGGTGGCCAAAGGCACCGTAGCCAGGCTGAGGCCAAGCAGCTGGACGATGCTGCGACAGGTCTCGCGACAACATTCGATCAAGTCGAACTTCGTCTCCTTCTCGGAGTTGGGCCAGTTCGTGAACACTGTAGCCAGCGCATCACACGATGGAGCCCTGCGCACGGCCATTGCACGCTCAAATGTATCACGCTCTATCGATACAGCAAACTGGAGCCTTGCATACAGCATGGTGAATGAAACAAACCCTGGGTAAGCGGACAACCGCTCAAGCCTTGATGCAACCGGAACCCCCTCAAACATCAACATCAACAACAACACCAACAACAACACCACCACCAACAACAAAGTCATCAAGCGGGCAACCGCTGCAACCCTCCTCACGTAGTCAAACCTTTTTGTCGGTTAGTCCAAGCAAATCATATTGTTGCCATTTTCGGCGAACCGGTACCAAGCAGGTACTTTGGGCGGCATACGTGGAGATAGCATCTGTGTGTGATGTTCATTTGTAATGCGCCAAGAGGTGCCCCAAGAATGTTTCTGCACCTGAAGGTTCCCCATAAAAGTTGAGGCGTTTCAAACACATGTAAATACTGCAAATACTGTAAAAAGAAAACAGTAACGCGCGCGCGGAGCCGGGATACAATATCGAGTCTACGGCATCGCACGGCCAATCCAGATTCAGAGGAAAACCATTTGTCGATGATTCCAGCTGTTTGCCCAAAAATCAGCACGTCTCCCACCGTCAGCTTGGCGGAGAGCAGATAGCAACCTATGTATATATATATATATTTATTTTTGTATATTGATATAGGACAGTGCATAGAACATATAGAAAAATATGAAAAAATCCTTGTTTGTAAAACGTTCCAAGTGAGTTCACCTTCAAGGGACAATTGCTCTCTTGAAGATCCACCTGCCCAAAAACTATTTTGTCCTCCATGGATGCTGAAGAAATGGGCGGCAGCAACTCCCAAAAAGGTAGACCACCCTTCTCCAAATTGTCGAAGCTGGCTTTCACCAATCGGTGAAGCACTGCAGCTGAAAACCTGGCATAGTCACAGACAGTGGCTCTTTGCTGGACGGCAACACCACTCTTGTACAAACTGTGTTTGGATTCCAGGGGGTCGGTGGAGAGCAAGGATCCGGTCAACTTCATTCCCTGGACCAAATGAAACCTGTGATGGTGTTTGGGTTTGAAGCACGCGCTTCCAAAGGCAAGCCCAAATGCTCTGTGGTGCTTTTGTTGTAACTTCTGCAGGTAGCTGCAGTCAGCAGCATCCAACCGGTCCAGCCGATGCTGAAAATTTTTGAGAGTAACCAAAATGTCACAGAGCAAGCTGAATGATGCCACGCATTCCCTGGGCACTTCTGGCATTGTTGCAAGGACCGTTTCGGCGTAATACCGAATCAATGGTGTGATGGCCGCTGTGTGATGGCCTTGGCCCTTGTAAAGGCTGTCAGAAAACATTCGTGGATCGAAGAGTCGCCTGGTGTAGTTTTGGGTTTTTCCGGAAGACTTGGTGCCCTTCCATTCCGCTTGCAACACCAAAAGTTCAAGCCGCTTCAAGTTTATGTCCGTTCTCTCGAAAACCGCCTTGCAGAGCAGCGCCACTTCCCAAGATGCACATCCGTTCACCAAATAAGTGTGAAGAATATCTGTAATAATGCGAGAAGGTGGCAACTTCCATCTTTGGTTTGATGCCATAAGACTTCCTGGGACCCAACAGATTCCGGCGCACTTCTCTTTCATCTCCATGTCTGCTTTGGTGCGGCAGTGCTGCAAATCATCCAATGCGGAAAAATTTCCTGGTCAGTCACAGGCTGAAAGCCTTCACAGGCATCTATTTCAACGAAGAGGTCATCCAAGCGAGAAACATCTGTGTCACGCTTGACCACATTAGAGCAGTGCAGGCACAACCGTATACCCGCACTCCCCTTGGACGTGTAAACAGATCTTATACCTTCATTGTCTGCAAGAAAGCATCCTTGCTGCTTCTGTCTGAACTTGAAGGTGAGGCCATGAAAAGACATGTTGAACCCTGCTTCACTCTCGACGGTCAGTGAAGTTGACAAAATCGCAGTCACAACAGCGCTGGCTCCGCCTTGGATCTGTTGAAGACAATCAGCTTGCACGGCCGCCATAGGAACCCACATGTTCGGATTCTTGAGGAGATGCCAACATTCCACCCATGAAAGGTAAAAGATGCAGGCCTTGCGACCTTTGTCAACGGACAGGACATTACCGGCAGTGCACTCATCACAGTACACAATAGGTGTGAGGATGGGATTCACTTGCAAAGCTCTGTGCAAAGACTTGTGGAAGGCTTCACTCGTTTTGCAAAGCTCACGGACGACGTGCGCCAAATCTATCAAGGGTACCACAAAGTCTTTGTCACCACATTCCCTGGCAGGTGGAAAAGATTCCCAGATCACTGCGCTCTTCCAGGGCCCGAAGATTTCTTGTATCTCTTCTTGAAAAGTACCTCGGGCTATGTTGGCTCTATTTTCGTTGCAAATATTCCAGATGCTCAGAACAGCACGTTCACTAGCACCTCGCACTTGCAGACACCTTTGCAGTCTATCCCGCTCATCGTCTGACAGCTTCTTGCGCTTTGGCATGCAGTTTCATGCTAGGTGCGCCAGCCTAATGGAAATTTCGTGGTAGCGTTGTTTCTACTTATGAGCCTCACAAACTACAGTACTCAGGATCCAACAAGAACTGAATAAAAGCGGTGAACCGCTCAACGGACAAAACTTTTGGTGACTACAGTGCACAGGGTCAATCCAATACAAGCGGTCAACCGCTCAACGGACAAACTGTGAGTGACACCCTAGTAACAAGCAAGCAAGGGGACAAACCGAAACAAACTGAAGCATGAAAGCATCGTACATTTTGTCCAGCAGCAATCAGCCCTTCACAGAAACTGAATTAGACCGCTTTGAAGAAAGCGAGTCCAGCAAATGGCATGTCATGATCTCTTGAACCAAGAGACCAGTCAAACCTAAGCCCCGCCAGCCTTAGACTTGGCTCCGGCTTTCGCCTTGGCTTTTGACTTCGGCGGTGGAGCAATCTGCTTCATTTCATGCCTGGCGTCAGCAATGGTCTTCTTAGCCGCTTTCAAAGTCTCCTGCACAGTGCCATCGGTCTCATCGAAGGGGACTGGGTCAGAAGTCTCCTTCACAACGTCCGTGGCAGCGATCAAAGATTTGGCGCCTCAGTGTTGAAGCCGGAGCGGCCAACCGCTCAAGAGATATACTACAAGAAGATAGCGGCCAACCGCTCAAGAGATATACTACAAGAAGATGGAAAACTACCTCACCGCCTCAGCTAAAGGAAGATGATAGCGGACAACCGCTCCAGAAAAGTCACAGGGGATCCCCAACAACAAACACCAAGGCGCAGGGGATCCAGCTTGCTAGCTTCAACTCAGCCTCATGCAAACCACGAAGGACTTCGTCGTCCGGTTCCTGCAACTTCTTGTATCGGTTGATGGTGTTGGTCAGGGCCACCGAAGTCGAATTCAGTGGAGCAATCAACTTGCTGGCAGTGGCGACAAGATTCTTCCATTGTTTGGCACGCTCCTGGAAGCACACGCATACGTTGACCTGTTGCCTTGAAACTGTTTGCGCAAATGGTGATTTGCAAAACATGCACTATTTGAACCCTTTGTCATATTTGTCTCCTGAGCAAGTTTCTTTGCTGCCTTGGCAGCATCATCCTCCTCTGAACGCTTTGGCATTTTGTTTGGCTTTCTGAAG